TGTATAACAGGCTGTTCACAAATATATGTTCATCATTCCTGCTTAAGGTCTTTAACTACATGAGCTGTATCCCAGTGTTTGGCCCTTTGGCCTTCTCCTACTGTTCTCTTCAGAGTGTCTGCATACATCGCCAAAAATGCCCGCCCACCCACACTGGCTGTTCTACGATGACCTCCACTGAGATTGGATTTTTATTTATTTATTTATGTGTTGCGCTGTCTCAGGTCATTGTGTTCGAAGAGCAGGAAACGGACGGTAAAATCCAGTTCAGCAGCAGCCCCGACTACGGCATGACCGTCGATGTCCAGTGAAGCCAAGAGGCTGCGTTTCCAACACTTCTTCAACACCCTTCAGGGAACGGAACCTCGGAATTTTAATCACATTTCTCACAGACTTCTCCACATGAGCCCATCTTTAACCTGCATATGCCTAGTTGATAACAGAAAAACAAAACAAATAGGTATGTTTTTGATACATTTTCTATTTCAGAACAGCTTAATTTATTGGCTCATCAATGTGTAAAAAAAAGGTGTGTTAATAAAGTCTTGTTTGACCTCCAAGGCCGCTCTCCCCCCAGATAACAACACTCAAAGCCACATTAGATTCTTCTCATTTATTTATTTCTCTTGATTTACCTAACATTTTCTCTGAGACATAATTGCTGTGGAAAATAAACAACCTTTAGAGTCACATGCATAAAATGTGAATCGCATGAGGCTGGAAGATGACAGTGGAGATGAGGAAAAGGGAGGATTAAAGTGGAGAGTGTATTGTGCCTTAAAGTAGCCCCCGGTGGGCGATGCTCATTAAACCTATGCTGCAGGAAGGTTGGTTCCAGTAGTCTTTTGCAAGTATTAGATATTGCTTTAAGCTTCATCTGTTAGGAGTTTAATATCTTTAAATCTTAGGGATGGGCCAGGTTTTTGCCCCGTTAAAGGCGAAGCCCTTTGAATCTTCTGCAACCGAGCCGACCACTTGCTGAATTACACACCACAGGGCCGATACAAAAGGAGAGCAGGGATAACTTTCTCTGGTAACATGCACCACATGTCTTTTAACGAATCCAAACTGGCACCCCTCTTGGTTTCTACCAGTACTGAAACATTTCAGGTGGATCCCTTCACTTAGACGGAGGGGAAACTTGGAAAAACTGTAGGTAGTGTTTTTGAACGTGCCTTTTTTTTTGTTTTTCTTTGTTTTTCCTTTCTGTTCTTGTATTAGAGAGTAGCTGCAAAACTGCAGCTGTTTGTGATGAGATTGCACATCCACGCTGGAAATAAATATATAAATAAATATATTAAATTTGAGTTTGGAATAAATAAGGGGAGGGTGGCTGGCGATCTCGGCAGCAGATCCCCGCACGGCGCAATATCTTGCGGTCAGTGAAAGCAGCCCGTGTGGTGAGAGATATGAAGCAGCCATTGTCTGGGCCTGAATCGGAACGTTCTGCAAGTGGAATTTGTAATATCCTGGGCTCTCTGGCTGATGAACCTGAGAGGGTCTGAGTGCGTTTCATTGTGTGTGTGTGTATATATATATATATGGGTGTGTATGTAGGTGTGTAAGTGTGTGTGCATGTATATGTATATGTGTATATTTATGTGTGCATTTGCCTGCACAGACTCTGGCAACAATACTACTGAAGCTTTGAGTTTGAATGAGTTCCTTCTGCTGGATAGAGCTAGGTAAGAACCTCCACCATGTATTACTAAGGAAAAACACAATTATGCTGCAAGTTCCGGTATGAATTAGTCAAAGTGTTTGGCATGTTGTCCATCATTAGACGCGGGGGGCTCTTATTCTCACTTTGCACTCACACAAAAGGAGCGATGTCGACATTGCTCCTAAAGCGCTGGTAAAAATACAGTTGATTTTCATTGTGCTTTGCTTTATTTTGCTCTCACTCTCGAGTTCTGCATTCTAATCGGTCTCATTTGATGTCAAAGCTGCTTGAATGTGAACTTTTCCTTTTGCAGTCCTCAGAGCCACGCAGTGAAGTTTCCCCTCACTTTTAAAACTTCTTCATCCCTCATTTATTTAAATAATCTGCTCCCATGTGACTGAAGATTGGAGTGTGCGTAGACCAGGAGCAGCCTTTACTTTCTAAAGCAGCAGGTTTTTGTTCTTTAAAAAAACACACATACACAAGGGATTGGGTCAGCATTTGTGAATAGGTGAGTTGGTCTGTTCTAATTTATCCCTAAACTTGATCCTCTCACTGATTCCTAACCAGGTGATATCCCTGATTGAGGAATCCGTGCTGAAGCCTGACGTTACAACCACATGGAAAGTGCTGAATACAATTGAAACTGCCACACAAAAAGATGCAGAAGAGAAATAAACGCTCGCCTTGCATTTCAAATTTTCCTGATTTAATCAGATTACGGCGAGGGCTCCTCTGCTGGGTACGGCCGGGTTCATGTTCAGGATCAGAAGGTATTTCTGCTGGTTTTTGTCAAAACCAACCAGCCCACAAAACATTTAATGTTTTTTTTTTTTTTTGTCTGAGTGAGTCACAAACTTCAACCTGCCGTAATCACTAATCTACCACTATTCCAACTATGTCTTGAACTAAACCTGCTCGTCGTGTTGTGTATGGAAGGAAACAGAAGGGTCTCTCCTCAGCTTTCACACCGAAACAGTCAGTCAGTTGCAGTGCGTCTGTCAAACTCTGCCCTCAGTCCTCTGATTGTACTCATAAGTTCAGATCCTCTCGTAGGTTCAGGCTCAATTGTGCGCTCTGTTTTAAACACTGAGGAAAAATGTAATGTAATGTACATGTATGTTCCATATATCCTCCTAAGCACAGCGGGACATTTTTTCTCTGTAAATGCATGAGGCGATCGGCAGATGCATGAGTTTCAATGACACTATAAAATAGACAACGATAACCCAACAGTAAATAAAGGTAAGAGTCAGTAGTATCGGACCAGCAGGTCAAGTGTTCGTCAAACGACTAAACCAGTTAAATTAAATTAAAGCAAACGTTTTCTAGATATCAAAAGAACATTCCTTCCCTTATTTTTTCTTTTTTCTAAAGCCCGTGTTTACTCCAAGGGAAAGTCACCACTTGAGACCTCTGTGTCATTGGATTTGTGTTCTCATCCAGGGCAAAGTCTTCAAACTCTCCCGTGTGCCGTGTTGCAGGTCCAGGCCCATTTCCCTCAACTTTATTTGTTTAAGGTGAAGGATTTGATTTGTTTGTTGTTGTTTTTTTGTTCCCCTCACCCTGCCTGTTTGCTTGAACCTGCTGGCTGTATGCTTTTCACGTTGTGCTGTCTCCTTTTCTTAGGTCGTCCTCGACGGTCCATTTGCCATTAAGCGGAAATGCAGGTCGCGACAGTCCAAAAATAAACCCTGTGAGGGATACTCGGACATTTTCTCCCTCGCACTTCAGCGGGAGACCTGAAGAGTGACTGCTGCCTCTTACTCATCTGTGCTTTATTTAATCTGTATGTATGCATGTCCTATTTTGGTCCATATTTATAAAAAAAAAAAAAAAAGCCAGGCTGTGTGAAGAAGATTTACTCTCGATAGATCATCTACTTCTTTTTTCTTCCTGATGATTAAGAGATGAGCACTGGTTGCACTTCTTAAGACACTCCACTCCTTTTAATTTTACTTCTTTTTTTCTTCCCCTTCAGAGGTCCATGGCCAACCCACCTGCAAGAGAAAGGATTAAGATAGGCTGAGAAAGAGCATTAAAGCTTAACGCGAGGTCATTAAACCTGCTTACTTCATTTTGGCTTTTCAGGCCCCGACAACAGCTGCTTTAATTGCGACTTAAGGAACAGGACGTTAAAAATAACCGTACGTGCATGAGGAGATGGTGAAAAAACATCTGCTGTTTTTCGTTAGCAAATTAGGTCAGGCGCACTGACAATAATCATCACATTTCCATCTCCCCATACTGTATTCACTCAACTCAGACATTATATTTGTAGGTGGGTGAAGAGATTAATCTAAAATAAAAAAATAAAAAGTAAATAATTCAGTATCAATAATCACCATAGAGGCAGGGGAGGGGAAATGCTCAGATCTCCACGTTGGGGTCTGTGAATCCTTTCTTCCCCTCGTTTACCAGGACCGGCTTCTCTGTTCTCGTGTGCCAGACGAGTATCTGGTGAGAAAGCGCCGTGGAAACACAAACAACAGCAGAATTAGCAGCACGCCGCTCGCTTAACGCGCTCGTTTCGGCCTCCCCTCTCTGTGGGCTCCCGCTCTCCGCCTCGTGCTCTTCAGAAAAGACGGCCGGCTCCGGATGCGGCTCCGGCGGTACGGGCAGCACCACGGGGCCCATCTGTGCAGAGAGCCACTTAAGCGTGAGCCCTGCATTAGAGCAGAGAAAAGAGGCAACGCGGAGCGCCTTTTTCATGCCTATATGACACAACCCTCTCGTCTTGCTCTTTGTTCAGTCCTCTCTCAGCTGACCGACCCCAGATGCTTTCAGTGCATCGTCTTTGAGGGAGAGCTACTTTCCTTTTTTGGGGCTGCATATGCCGTCGTTGTGTAATATTCTGTTTGTTTTGTTTATCTATGGCCTTCATGCTGGCTCGATATGGCCCAAAATGCAGGGGCAGATAACCAGCAGAAGGAAAGCAAAGGTACAGCAGGAAAAACAAACTAAAAGTCTCCAGCTCATTTCCTCCTCTCCTCTGTGCCCCCCCTCCTTTCATCTCGCCTTGGCAGATGCATGAATTATGCATGAGACGTGCCAGGAGCCCCTCCCCCTCTCTGCCCAGGTGTAGTGGAGGGGGGGGGGGGGGTTAACAGTCATGCTTGCATCTGAAGTGGTAGATTATGAGGAAGAGAGATGCACATGCATGGTTTTCCACAGCTCCCCTCCACTCTTTCTCCCCCCCCCCCCCCCACCTCCTGCCCTCCTGTCCCCCGTCCCCGAGCTCATCTGTAATCAGTGTGACGTCTCTGCTTCCCCACCGCGTCCAATTCCGCTCCGTGAGCCGTCGCCTGAATCCACTCTTTTCATTTAGCCCCTCTGAATAGCAGTGGGGGGACCAGGGGAAAAAGCTGGCCGAAAGTACCTCTGGTTCCCTTTTGCTTTCTTGTCTCTCTTTGTCGGTGTGTGCACGGGAGGTTCAGCGGTGAGGATATTGGCCGCCGAAAGCCCTTTGGCCGACTCCTCCTCTCAGCCCGGAGCGAGGTGAGCCAGACCCAACATCCACCAGCCGGGGACTGATGGAGAAGACTGCAGGTGCTTGTGTGCAGAAAGCCTTTACATTCCCTCTCTGACAGTTTCACTCAGCAGGTTTGTGTTGATGAATAATAACCAAAAAGGGAGTTATTTTGCTAGGAAAGAGTGATTATGTCAGGATGGGGGGCTTTCAAATGGCGGATTTCTCTCCCTAAAAATAAGAAACGCCTCACTGTGTCTTCTTTTCGAGAAGTAGTCTGACATTCTGTGACATTTTGTGCCTGTTTGCTTTCTTGCCAAGAGTCGGAGGAGAAGGTCAGCGGTCGCGCTTCCGTGAAATTGTCAAATGAATTTTTAGTGACCCTTTTTGAAATTATGCAAAACAGAGAGGAGGCAAATTGGGTATTCCAACAACTGGTTTGGAGCTGATTAAGAAGGTGTTGCCGGAGGGGGCTCACAAATGGCTGTAACACACACAACAGGTTGCTGGCTGCAAACGGGATTTCAGAGACCAACAGAATCACTCACCTCAGCCACAGGTGAGTAGAAGATTATGCTGTCAGATTTTCCTGTTTTTTGGGGCTGTTTTTCCACCTACATGTCATGTAACTATCAGGTGGTATAAACCATGCGTTGTAAAGACTAACCTCCAAGACCTTCTTTCCTAACTTTGAGCTATATCTTAATAGCATTTTTCCGATGGAGTTAATATTTTATAGTGTTTCCTATTACAGGTTAAAGCACTCGGGGGCTTGGGTTTCTGTGACCCCGCTTTTTGCCGGCTTCCCACAAACAGATGAGCGAAAAGTCAGCCATTACCTTCGTGCAATTGGCCGCTTTCGGCTCCAGGTCGTTGAGGGTCACCAGCTCCCGGAGCAAGCTGCTCTCCTGGTAGCCGCCCTTCACCCCGCGGAGTTTAAAATACGCCTGCGGCTTGAAGAGGATGAGTCTCAGGTTGATGGCGAACCCCGCCATGTCGATGGCGAAGGGCCGATGGGGGTCAAACACTGTCTTCCAGCCGTAGACCTTCCCGGCCGCGTTTACCTTCGGGGACTCGTAGCGCAGGCCGCCCACGAAGGCCACGGGCCACACCGAAACTTTCCGAGTTGATCTCATCTGGCGAGGGGGGAGAGAGGAGAGAAATGGAGGAGGGAAGAGAGCAAATTAGAGATCTGAGAGAGCGTACATGACAGCGAGACGGCACTGGAGCAGAGCACGGGCCGAGACTTCTTAGGGGCCGCTGCTATGATTTGTTCTGAAAGACGGCGAATATTGACCGCGCCGCTGTACCCTGAGCAGCGGACACACGGTTAGATGAAGGCAGATGACACACGCTGCTCAACAGCTGCCCTACAATGAGATAATGAGCCACAGCCATCTTTAAAGGGAGTAAACACAGACAGAGCTAAGAGGGTTTTTGAAGAAGCTAAGCCATTAGAGCAAGTGGCTGTGGCTGTCGGTTGGCCGTGAAGATTCTTTTAAGGCAGAGAAGCAGCGTCCTTTCTCTTTCTCTCTCTCTCTTCTCCCCTTTCCTTTCCTGTTCTTTAATCTTCTCGGATCAAACGGTGATGCCGCCCTCTCTTTTGTCTGCCGCATGGCGAGTTTTTTGCCACTCTGGCAAGAAAAAAAAACGGCAGTCGTAAAAAAAAAAAAAAAAAGTTCCCTTTTTCTAATGAGGGAAGAAGAAGGTTCAGGAACCGCAGAGTCGTTTTAATCAAACCCAGCGCTGCAGAAATAATGATGGCCCCTCAAGTGGAGGGACTGCTGAAAATCAAGGTGTGTGCCCGAGTCTCTACAGTAACCAGAAGGATATTGAGCAGCCGTGCATGGACAGACCAAGCAAGCAGCGAGTAAAGAATTGATTTATTACCTCATGTCTGCTGAGCTCTCAGGTCGGGTAACAAGGAAGGGCAAAGACTGAACGGCGGGGATGCAGTTGTGGACCTATTTGGATCTGCGAGTTTGAGCCGAAGGGAAAAAAAACCTAGCAAGTATGTCTTAATGAGCTCTGTGTGTGAAAAGTGAGACCAAAACGTGGGGGCCTTTTTGTTGTGTATTCGTTTTTTCGTTTTTTCAGCCAGCACCGTTGCACTCCTCAAATGTTTTTTTCTGTCCGTTCCATTTCCCACATGCTTCGTTAGCACATGCCCAGTTTGCTCGATCCCCTTTTTCCTACATGGATGCCTCCTAGGTGAACATCCTTTTTTGCAGCCTGGTCCCGAGTTAAATCTAGCCACCGGAAAGCCAAGATGTCACGGGCACCGCTTCCCTTACAGATGTAACTTCAAACAAGAGGGAATGAAGTAAATCGGTCTTTTTTTTTTGTGCTGGCAGTGTCAGGAGGTCTCTAGCTATCCAACCCTCTCTGAAAATGTGAAAATGAGTGTTCTGCCCGCTGCTTCTGAAGGGAATATCGGCTAGAGTGAAACAACACAAATCCCTCTTTTTTTTTTTTTTTTTTTCCTGGCAGTGAAGCACATCAAAAACGCAACCGAGTCTCTGCACACAGTGTCTTGTCCGGAATTGCATGCCAGCGCGTGCGTTTAAGCTCTGTTTCCTGCTCCAGTTCGTGAGAGGCCTCGGGAGACGCAGTCCTGCGTTTGAGTGTTGGAGCAAAGACAAATAGAATAAAACAACAAAAAAAGACACAAATTGGAACTGGGGGGAGAGAAAAAAAAGACATGCATTCATGTACAGAAAACAATCCTTCAGGGTACAGAAGAGAAACAGGAACGGTGTCATCCACTGCCACAGTAGATGGAGTCTGGATTAATGTTTTTGTCAAATAGCATAAACATGCCGCAATCATTCCGGTTTCGGGATCCCGGTTTAAATAGATGAATAAATAAAAGAACCTGAGCGTTTATTTGTTCTTTCCTGTATATTTGAAACAACACTTCCAACCTGCTTAAAACAAAAACAGCTGCATCGCTGGACCGACGCACATTTGTGTCAATCCTGAATAAGTCTGGGTAGTATTATGAGTACATGTCGAGTTCGTCTTCCACCTGATACCACAACCCTAAATGTCACCAACTAGAACGTCATTACAGAATATAATATCACTAAAAAAGAGCTTCAGGAATGTGGCTTGCATTAAAGGAAGTCAATTTACCATAAAAAACAAAAATATATATCTGAAGTTAAATCATATTTGTATCATTTCATCCTTTTTGAAATTTAAGATATTGTTGAGTGATCAAAAGACACTTCAGATAGTGTAATCAGAGACTTTAAACAGTAACGCACTAAAAAGTAGATGCATTTGTTTTGGAAGAAAACCTAGGCTCACTTATGAGACCCCGATAATTAATGCACTTCTTTACAGCTACACTATATTGCCAAAAGTATTTGCTCACCCATCCAAATTATCGGAATCAGGTGTTCCAATCACTTCCATGGCCACAGGTGTATAAATTCAAGCACCTAGGCATGCAGACTGTTTTTACAAACATTTGTGAAAGAATGGGTCGCTCTCAGGAGCTCAGTGAATTCCAGCGTGGAACTGTGATAGGATGCCACCTGTGCAACAAATCCAGTCGTGAAATTTCCTCGCTCCTAAATATTCCACAGTCAACTGTCAGCTGTATTATAAGAAAATGGAAGTGTTTGGGAACGACAGCAACTCAGCCACGAAGTGGTAGGCCACGTAAACTGACGGAGCGGGGTCAGCGGATGCTGACGCGCATAGTGCGAAGAGGTCGCCAACTTTCTGCAGAGTCAATCACTACAGACCTCCAAACTTCATGTGGCCTTCAGATTAGCTCAAGAACAGTGCGCAGAGAGCTTCATGGAATGGGTTTCCATGGTCGAGCAGCTGCATCCAAGCCATACATCACCAAGTGCAATGCAAAGCGTCGGATGCGGTGGTGTAAAGCACGCCGCCACTGGACTCTAGAGCAGTGGAGACGCGTTCTCTGGAGTGACGAATCGCGCTTCTCCATCTGGCAATCTGATGGACGGGTCTGGGTTTGGCGGTTGCCAGGAGAACGGTACTTGTCTGACTGCATTGTGCCAAGTGTAAAGTTTGGTGGAGGGGGGATTATGGTGTGGGGTTGTTTTTCAGGAGCTGGGCTTGGCCCCTTAGTTCCAGTGAAAGGAACTCTGAATGCTTCAGCATACCAAGACATTTTGGACAATTCCATGCTCCCAACTTTGTGGGAACAGTTTGGAGCTGGCCCCTTCCTCTTCCAACATGACTGTGCACCAGTGCACAAAGCAAGGTCCATAAAGACATGGATGACAGAGTCTGGTGTGGATGAACTTGACTGGCCTGCACAGAGTCCTGACCTCAACCCGATAGAACACCTTTGGGATGAATTAGAGCGGAGACTGAGAGCCAGGCCTTCTCGTCCAACATCAGTGTGCGACCTCACAAATGCGCTTCTGGAAGAATGGTCAAAAATTCCCATAAACACACTCCTAAACCTTGTGGACAGCCTTCCCAGAAGAGTTGAAGCTGTTCTAGCTGCAAAGGGTGGACCGACGTCATATTGAACCCTATGGATTAGGAACGGGATGTCACTTAAGCTCATATGTGAGTCAAGGCAGGTGAGCAAATACTTTTGGCAATATAGTGTATGTTTAACTACAGGAAATTAATTTTTCATGAAGTCATCATCAGCTTTCATTCAGGCCTGACCTTAAGCGCCAGCATGCATTAGAATGCATTTTCTGTTCACATTTCAAACTGCTGGTACAAGAGATCAGTTACTTCCAAATCTGCCGCAGCAGAGAGACACAGAAAAGTGGAAATCCTTCACCTGCTTCATATTGCAGCACCGTGAAAGAGCCGTGATTAAGACAGATTAGCGATTCGCTATGAAGTGGACTTTTGAACACCACTGGAGACTGGACTACAAAAGAATTATCGTTTGGCTTTAAAAAAAAAAAAAGAAGCTTTTTCCTCACAAGCCACTGAGGTATCACGGTCATCTTTAAACGGGTTTACACTTTTAAATGCATGAGAAGGGCTTTCCTCCGAACATCTGTTGGTTTAAGCTCAGTGCCTTGAAGCACCTCTCTCTCGTCTTACCAGGTGAACAATGAGATCAACTGTGCTGGCCACGGGGGAGAAGGAACGTTTTCCGAGCTGTTTCAGTGAAAAGTGAGTCCCAGTCAGACCCTGAACAGGGGGGGCGCTCCCAGAGCTCGGGGTGTCAGCCAGGGGTTAGATTATTTAGGTTTCTGTGTTGGCTAAAGACTTGCTGTTGCATTTGACTGCCGCAGACACGAGGTAATATTAGACGGTGTTTTTTTATAAGTAACCCACATACACATGTGGGCATCTGGGTCCAGAAGAACCCACACCAAAGGTATCCAGTCATACCAAAAGCATTACAGCTCACTAAATATACAGTAGAGAGTTACAGAGGTTAGAAAAAAAGATAAATCTCTGATTAACCATTCTGCGTATGTGCCATTGTGCAGGAACTGAAAAGCTGTTGTCGTTTCGAATATGAATTGGGCGTTGGAAGCATTCAGTAACCCAAAAAATGTCACAACACTTACGTGACAAACCTGAACGGACTCCTTTGAAGCTGGATCTATCCACCCACCTATTATTTTTCTTTGCCAGAAAGAAACCTGTTTGATTGATTGCTTTAGTCGTTAGTTTGGCACATGTCGAAAAAGGGTTTTGATTAAGCCAGGTTTCCTTTTTTTTTTTCCTAATTATTCATCTGCATCTTTGGTAAGCAGCTAAAGCTTAGAAAATTCAAACATTCAAGTAACAAGCTATTAAAAAAGGAAGGTCTGCTAGTTGTTTAAAGCTAATGTAGAGTTGTTGTTGAATATTTGAGTGTTGGGGGTGCGATTGGAACTCACTCACCAATAGACAAACTTCCCATCATGGATTTCTGATCCAGATCAGAGTATTGGTAACTATCCCATCATCCTCATCTTATCCCATGTTCTAAACAACGTCTGTCCAGTGCACAACGTCTGCATTTTTTTCCTCCTCACCTTTGACCATTGCCAACAGAAGCTGCTAGCGTACATCTAAAACCCACGTGGAGCTTCTAGTGTTTGATTGATCAGCTTTTTGACAACAAATGGAGAGGTAAGATAATGGCCAGACTTAGCCTTTTGCAGCTTTAGTCTCAATGTTTTGCCAGAATCCATCTCCATACTAAATAAAGAACTAAAAGACCGTAATAGGTTTATGTCTGATGTGGGCCCACACATGAGGAATTGCTTATCCACCTACCTTTTTCGAGACCTGCAGCATATTAACTTAACATTTACTACTTGTTTCTGTCCATCTGGCAGTCACCCTCTCTTTTTCTCTCATTCTTTTTCCGTCTCCTCTCTCTCTCCCTCTCCTCTCACTCGCTCTGCCCCTCAGTGCTGTTACTCTGGCCCATAAATAGGCATGTTGGAGGTGATGGAGGGCTTCTGGGGGAGACAGAGCACTTTGGCTGATTCCCAGAGAAAAGTAATGACAGGCCCCGTCAATACAAGGTGCACCATTTACCACAGACCCCGTCTGTACTACTAACAAGACTTGAGGGTAATACTCAGAGGTCCTAGACCGTGTCCGCTCAGGTAATTCAACTGATGTCAAGATGGATGGCCTGAGATGCACTGATTACGTGCCCAAACTTCCCTCCACCAGCTCCAGATTCCTAACTGTGCTTGTTAAGAGTTTGGAAAAACGCTTTATGAAAGTACAAATGTCTATTTACAATTTTGACAACATTGCTTTTATTCTTTATATAAAAAATGTTTTTACACAATTTTTTTAATTTAACCAAAAGCACACATGTGTCTTTTAACTTTGAGTTCAGGTCTAAAAGGTCTAAAAGAGCATTTGCCGGTGGAGCTGGAGAGTGGAAATGATGGTGCATTTATCATTGTGCAGCATTTTTTGGACTTTTAAACAAAGAATTTAAATTCAGTAAAAATGTTGTAAACAATTGTGTTCAAATTGACAACTCGGGTGTCAGGTCTTGTTTAAATATTTGGCATCATTTTTGTGCGAAGGCTCCCCTGAAGGCTTCAAAACTTCACAAATGTGTCTGCAGTCAATATACAGGATATGAAATGAGAGTTTAAGACATTATTAATCCTTTTCTAAGGTGACATGACTTTTTAAAAGTCCCAATAAATGAATGTCTACTGTATATTTATTTATCTATATTGCTTCTGGTATGACTTTTGGTGAGGGTTCTTTAAAAAAAGAAGTGTGTGCATTGGCCGGGAATCGAACCCGGGCCTCCCGCGTGGCAGGCGAGAATTCTACCACTGAACCACCAATGCCTGAAATTCATACGTTTCGCTTGACAAAAAGACGAAAAAATACACCAGTGAAGTTATGCTTCTCTCCGTGGCAAAAGCTACGCAATGCTAAAACTTTTTCAGTTTGTTTCAGCAGTTAACATTCGCCTCTAATGTGGTTTATCCACTCTCTGCAACGAGTTGCAACCCAGTTGTGTCACAAGCTGCTCAGTTCACCTGAAGTCAGTCATGAATGTCTTCGTGGAGGTTGAACACCTTTTTTTTAACATCTTAAAAATCTCCTGCAAAATTGATAATGATGCCTTTTACTCGTGCTGCAATATGAAGTTATATTCAGTAAAAATCACAAAAGTCACAATCAATGGTCTCTGCCCTCCCCCGCTTTCCTCTTTGCGAGTGTGCGCAGACTCTATTGAAAGGCTTCAGTTTTCTGTGGGTTGAGTGAGTCACCCCACACCTCCCCCCCTTTCCAATTTTGGATCGCTCCACAGGCTTATGTTATCACACAAGTATATGTTTTCTTTGCAAATGACTTTTTATACAAACAAGCTGAAGGGAACATTGTCAAGACTGTGAGCTCACATTTTAGCCATGTTACAACCTTAACTTATCTTATTAGCATGCAAACACGCTAACTTTGCCAAAAGCCAAACATTCTCTCAGTTATGGACATTATAGCCTACTGATTCATCATTTAGGTGCATCTCACTGTCTATCAGAATCTCTAAACTGAGTAACTTTTTGTAATGCCTGAGGTCTGAGGTCCACCAACCATGGGGCCCAGCTCTCATTGATTGGTTAAAAACGACAACGTGCAGATTGCTGCTTCTGCAGAATACACTCATGCGTCAAAATTACTGTGTTTGTGTTGGAAAAAACAGTTTGAATACAAGCGGCTGTTCACAAAAACAGGTCTTCACTTGAACACTGCCCCTGAAAGAATTAAGGCTGTGGGTCGGCACAACGATGCTATGTGCTCTGGACGAATGAGAGGGGATCCGTTAATGTGTGAGGTTGGTGCGCTTCGAGGTCGACAAAAGAAGTCCGAGCAGCCTGCGAAATGATACCGACTTCCGAGTGATACAATTTGCAGACAGCATTGTGTTATACCAGAACAGAGTCGGCACGTTTCCTTACTAACGTATTCAGGCAAAGAAAATATTATCTTTTTATAATACGTCCCCTACAATGTAAGGCGGCCTTATTCATTATGCAAAACTATTCAATTCACTTTCACAGGCAAGGACATTTCATTTTAACCATGCACAACTCTCTAGTCTAGCTTCACCAGCACTTACTTGGACACTGGGTCATGGTCATGGGATGTGCTTACACCGAACAACCAACCGAATGCGAATCAAAAGAGGAAAAATGTCAATTCTGAAATAATTTTCAACCACTGAAATTTTAACATCAGAAACTGGCAATGAGTTTTAAATTGACCTGAAGATTGGAATAGTGTGCAGATTTTCCACCTGTGCCCTGTATGCAACCTTGCGCTTTATTACCGTGTAGTTCAACATCAGGCTATCTACACAAGTCAATGAAAGGCTGCTATTGAAGCTTCAAAGCCCTGGAAATTATTTCTGGGGCCTTCTGAGGTCTGATCTCGGTCTCTTTTCCTTCCCTTGTTGAAGTTAATTTGAAAAAGAAAAAAAAAATAGCATAAAAGTGATTTGGCCGAGCAGCGGCAACGACACTGTATTCCAGCACTGACCTCCTCAAACAGCTCGAGGCTGTACGTGTTATCGTCATCGGCGAAGTAGACGATCCCGGTTTGGCTGCTGTTGGCGTTGAAGGTCTCCCTCAGCCAGCGCAGGGCCAGATTCCGCTGCATGGTCCCTCTGGGGATCCTGGGGTCCCGGGTGTCGCCCCGCAGCTTATAGTTCCTGGGCGTCTCCACGTTGAGGTGGGTGTAGTTCAGGCCGGTCTCTCGCAGGAGCCGCGTGACCAGCGGCGTTCTCCTCTGGGAGTCCTCCACCAGGATCCAGTGCAGGTTGGGAACGTGGAGGAAGGTGTTGGCCAGGCGGGTCAGCTCCGCCTTCTGAACGGGCCGGCTATATGTGGGGGTGATGACGTGGATGGTCGGCAGCACGTCGGACCAGGGCGGGGGCCGCGTGTACACGTACTCTGTCCTCACCACCTCCACAATGTCCTTATCCGAGGCACAGTATTCTTTGGAGTCCTGGGCCTGGCCGGCCGCCTCCCTTTTGCCCTCGGCGCCTTCATCTGCAGATGGGGCGATAAAAACGACACGTATAAGGCGTTAGCGCGGCCTTGAGCTGCTCCTTGTATGTTTGCCTCAGGTGACCTAAACCCAACGGGGGTAAAGTGTACCTGAGAGTCGGTGGTGGTGGACTGCGAGCCTCTCTGGAATGATTAAGATCTCTTTTACTAGGTGGTGACAGGCTGCAAAAAGTGAAAGCAGGCACTGTGAGAGGATAACACAGCTGACGGACAGAGAGACAGCGCAAGATGAGAGGAGGGGGAAAAAATTATCTCTGCTACTCCCAAAGCACTACCTTCGGGCTGGATGTGTACATGTTTATTTTTGTTTGTTTTTTAATGTCCAGAGTCCACCACAGACTCCCTTAACCCCCCAATTTTAACAGCAAGCTGTTGTGATTGAAAACTCGATATTCAGCTAATCTGAATGGACACATTTCTCTCAAAGGTGTCCATTGTTGTTCTATTCCTTTTGTCTGAAGCGCATACTATGCAAAACTTTTTGTGTCTACCCGTCCATCTTTAAGAAAATTCATTTAAAGTCGCTCACAAGTCTGCTATTCTCGGCTTGCATGCGAAGCGGAAAATTTGCTGTTTGACCCACTTAGGGCGCATTCTGGTGCTTATTACAACATTTTCTTCCAGGTTTGGTGTGAACAAACAGTATAGATGCGTATAGAGCCACCGAGGCTGTTAATTACCTCTAATTGTGCCACGGCTAATGGCCATCTTTGTGTGTATTCTGCCCACTCTCTGTTTCGCACCTCCAATGTGGAGAGGATTTTTTTCAGCAGCTCAGAGATTAACGCAATCTGCTGATAGCCAGATGTTCTGCGGAGGCTGCCAAGCAGCACGCTGCCAAAAGAAATTTCCAACTTTTCTTTTGGGAACACACAAAAGGAAGCCTGTGGGCAGAGCTTGGTCAGATAGTACAGGGCAAAAAACTACTAAACGGTTTTCCAGTTCGCCGTGTCTCGTGGGACAACTGAACAACCCAGCTACCCTTAACGTTAAACACCTTTGCCACCATAGTTTGGCTGTGGTTGAGGGCATCCAGGTGCTGCTTTTACATAACAAAAGCAAATGTCAGCGTGTGTCATTACCCGCTGCCTCCGGTCCATTTACAGACATTTTGGTGTTGGTTAACCCCTCTGTGTGCTCTTGTAACACTGCGTAAAAAGAGCAAACAGCTTCATCGATTGGGTTTCGCTCTAATTTGGGTGCGTTTACTCTGCAGCATATTTGACATTTCACTGTTGGTTTGTGTCCTCTGGAGATGATTGGTAGACCTTTGAGTTTGTACTAATGACTCAGACGAGTGTGTAAACACGATATCACACTTGGACGCAGGGTACTCCATTAGCTGATCAAGGAGATACAGTTTTATCTTTAGAGAAATGTGTGATTTACAGTAAGTGGGTGGCTGAGTTGCCATGTGACATGGCTTTGCACATTAGTGAGTATTTTATTATCCACAACAAAACAACCCCAAATTAGATGTAGTTACACAATTAAAGTGGACGAGTATAATAATCAAAATGACTAATCAGAGTGGTTGTGTAATGGAAACTGCTAAATCTCCATTGTGTGCGTAAGCAGTCCATTCTGATGAGGTTTGCATTGACTGTACAAGTGTCATCATCAGCTTTGATGAAGCTCGTGGTCATGGCCTCCACGCGAACGACCTGTTGTCTGAAACTAAAGCGCGGTGTTGGGTTCAAGGACCCGCTTACAGTGTGATGTTGGAATTGCATGGAAGTGCATACCCTTGTGGATGGCGAGGAGCGGGGCTATAGCGCTTTGGTGCCAAACGGTGATGAGCAGAGTCCAGGGTAACACAATCAACACGATGGCAAGAATATCTCTTCTCTTCGGCATCTCCAGGATTGGTTGTTTGGCTCAGCATTACCTGGACAAAAAGATAACCGGCTCATGCATTGATAAAACAAAGCATTTCAGATCGGTTCACAAGACAAAAGGACCTTGCAAGACAAAGCCAGTTTTTTATCCATTTGTACAACTGGATAAAAGAAGACCCATTTACTACTTTAGCAATGAGGTATGTACGAGGCAACGGGTTTCATGAAAGTGCAAATGACTGAGCGCGACTCTTCATTTCTGCTTTAAAATACATAAATAGTATGTTGTTAGCCCATATCCGCTAGCAGTAAAAGCCAGCACAAGAAGTACAAAGAAATGACAAAGCAGCTGAAGGTTGTATTCAAACACAATTAAACCCTGAGGAAAAACCAACAACAACTAACTAAAGCAAGGTCAAAGCCACTAGAGGAGGCGTATGATCAGGACCTCTGCCAACATGAAGAGCACACTGACCTGCCATGCTACTGGCTCTGCTGGAAAGAGAAACCTCTAACTGTTGCCTCTGGAAAACTTGTCTTAGGGTATGAAATACAGACCGTGGGATCGTGGAAATAAGCCCTGAATCCAGCAACTCATTTCAGTCTGGACACACTGAACAAAGGACCCTTAATCCTTCCTTTATGATACAGATGGAACACAGAAAATGCATATTTATTAGCCATCATTGCTTGGCTTGAGTCATTTTTGTGTATGAGGTGGTACTGTCATAATTTCAAATCTTGTCTGTAATATCTTGTGTTGTTTAGATCTGTCATTAGGATGCCTCAACTGTGGCTCAGGATCAAGGATCAAGAAAAAAAAATGTAAATCTCTTTTTTTCTGGGGAAAAAGATAAATAGAAGTAAAAAAATTTTTAGAATTCCCAGATTTTTAGGTCAGTTGTTCACACATAGATACATTTGAATATAAAAACAGCAAAGGTATATGTTGGTCACACAGATTATTTGGGAAGTTGTGCAATTTAAGGCCAATGTTATGGTAAATCCTAGATATTTAGCTGTTATAGTCCTCTTTAATTTAGAGAGTTTTGGTCCTGCTGTTCAAGCTTTGAATACATTCATCTTACGGTGCAAAACAACATTTCACTGATAATTGCCATCTACCAACAAGTCATTCAATTAGTAAACCATTTAGATCGCCTAAGCTAGTAACATGACTTGCTGTTACATCTAACATGGTTTCCAGCTTCCTTTTTTTTTCAAGGAAAGGTGGGCATGGAATGTCAAAAGGGTTGCTAATGGCGACTTTACAGCCTATTACACACAGGTTTGCTATGTTCCTCTACTTTTATTGAAAGATGAATTTACTCCTAACCATTGGAGTATATGCGGTTGGCATCAACTCAAAACAAGTTTGAGAAAGATTTATAGGTAGGGATAAGCAACACAGAAACCATGCAATGACATTTGCAATCTGGCATGTGAGTATTTTTTATTCGGTTTGGGTTGGTGTTTAGCAGGGATGTGTCAGATGTTTTATCTCAAATCCCCAGATTGACCTGGGATTCCTTCCAGTTCAGGGCATTTATTTATTTCTATGTATTTCACATGTAGGAATATGCTAAAGACCCACGTCTGATTTTGTTGGTCATCTGGTCATAAATGGCGGAATGGAAAATCCTGCCGTGGATATTGCAAACTTCCAGACATTTAACATGGTTGATAAAAAAAGTGAAACACACAGGAGCAAGCAAATGAGTGTTTGTCATGAATGTATATTTCCACATAGCTACATTCTTCCTCGCCATTCTTTCTTTTGGTAAAGACTTATGAGCTGTGGTTGGTGGAAATAGATTACAGATGCAACAAGTGTAAATAATACTCCTCTTAAGGGTTTGGTTCACCTTTGAGACTGGGAGGGGGAGCTGTGGTGAAGCTATCTAATTTGATGATGTGGAAAATGGGGGTTAGAATGCATACGAATGAGAACATGGGAACTTGCTCAAATCAAAAATTTAGAGACGATGGCAAAAGAACGATAAATCAAAAGTGATTTCATGTACAAAGTTTGGAATCCGTAAAGTCATGAATTCTCCATAATAACCTGATATGGTTGTAATAACTGTTTTTATAAGTATAAACATTCCAGTAAGATTTCTTGTTTGTCCTTTTCACATAATGTCTGAGATCTGTTTGTTGTGTTTGTTACAACAACCACACCCTGGCAACCACACCCTCGACTATCTATTTTGGACCACATTTAGCTATCACAGTTGCACAAATCCTTCACACTCTTCAACAGGCCCAGATAACCTAGAGCCATGTTGGCATAAGCGAAGAATATGGATGGATGGGTTGATACCTCCCCTCTCTGAGCACCATTACACAATTACACTGGGTTTAAACACAGCACATCTTTCCCGAGCTCCAAGGGTCAGTCTGTCCTCATATTTAATAGACTTTTGGAACGATGCCGACCCATAACTGGAAAAGTGCAATTATTAAGTGATCTGCTCAATTAAACATGGGAGAAGACAGAGATGATCAAGGCAGTGGGGGCACAGGTGTTTGTTGTATTAATTTCAGGTTTACACATGAGAGCACAAATCCTCCTGTTTCCAACAGTGTTCCCGCCTTCACTGCAGGGAAAGGTGACAGTGTTTCAAGGATTAACATAATACCAATTATGTTTATTGAGCGTTCTAAATAAAAATGTCATTGATACTTAAGCCTTAAGTGAGAACAGTTCAGACTTTTTTTTTCCTTTATACATGGTGGTTGTAAATGAAAAAAGAAGCAGCTATTAGGTTTTGCAATCTGATTTAAAACAAACGAGTTTGACAGATTGCCATTATGATTATGATGAAGAAAAACATAAGCATGCCTGGATAGCTAGCGGCCTTTAAACTTTGCATGATATCGTACCCGATATCATGATATCATTATTATCGATAATATTATTGTTATCATTGTATTTTATTATTTTTGTTGGCATTAATAAGTTATTTTGGGAAGAATCTGAAATCTGAATCAAAGTCAGGATTGGGTATAAAAGCGAAATTTGAATTGATCGTTTATGATCTGTGGAGTACAATTTTTAACACTGTTGTTTAAAGTTTGAAGATTAATGCAGTGATATGACTCAGTAAGACACTTGATGCTTACCGACAGTTAGAAATGAAACATGGCACCACTGGGGATACTCAGCTGGGAAGACCACACGGCATTTGGTGGGTTACCTAATGATGACATTTTCCATGACACATCGCCATTTCTTGCTTCCCTTCCTCTGCGGGGTCTCACGCACACGAGTAACTCAGAGTCCAGACCTGGAAGATAAGAACGTTTTAGTGGGCATGATGTGAATCCTCTCAAAAATGGTCATTCTATACAATTAAAAGAATGTCAGCCACATTTAAATCAGGCTGGAAAGTGTCTACGAGTCAAAAGTCTGTCTCGGATATTGGGTCAATCTGGTGCAGACTCTTGAGAAATACATCTACGTTACATCTACTTATTATTTAACACCAGTTTCTCCATCGCGCCTCACACCTTTTCCAAATGGTTGGGGCTTAACAGGGTTTTTCAGTTTAGGGTAATAGAATATGTTTATGCTTGTGCTACTACACAGACCCGGTGAGGCACATACTACATCCTGCTTTGCCTTTAACCCATTTGCGATAGCCTTAAAGGGCAAAGCCTGCACGAAATAGAACATTGGTTAGAAACCATAACCCCTATGAGTATAGGCAGAGCCCTTTAAGCTGTGGGCTTTAATGACTCTGTGAATGGCTGACAAAAATGGGCTATTCATGGGAGCCGATTGTCCAGTCTCAATCCAATTTATATTCGAAGCCAAGATGGGACCCACCTAACAGGTTTTCAGTGCTACCTGTAGTTTTCAGTACTAGGCATGCGTGTGAAGGGATGACCCCATTAACGATAGCCTTAAAGGGCTGCGCCTATACTCATAGAATCTGGAGTTACGCGTCCTAACCAACGTTGCGTGTGAAATTGTGAATACTCTATATATTAACACTTGATTACCTAATTCATTCCAATCTGAATTGCACAGACAAAAGCGTTGTTTTATTTGTTTTTTTTCTCCCTGCGCTTAATGTGAAAACTGGAAGAGGTTTAGTCACAACTCCATTGCCTGCCAACGGTCTGCGGTGGGGGAAGTGACAAAAATAAACTGGCATCATCTCTTATTCAAATACATCTGAGGACATGTTCCCTCTGTGGAGGCTTCACATAGTCAGAGATGTCTTCATGCTGCATCAGCACTTGAACTTGATGGCTGAACACTGTATTCTCAGTTCTCTGCTTGACAGAAACTTCAAATGTGTAGGTTTTGTGTTAGGAACAAATGCATCTTAACCATCACGTGAAAGTAGGATGTTTTGTATCATGGCAACCTGCCTCTAACCCTGTAATGCAGAAGGGCGTTTTGTGGTAGACGTCTGTCAAGAAAGACAGAAATTGAAATTAATCAAATTTACTATCAGATAGCCCTGTATTGAATGGCAAAACAATCTACTGGCAAGACAGAAAGATGACATTTCATATGATGCATTTATTTTTCCTTACTCATTTTACAAGGACGTTGTCTGACAGTGGAGCACAGTTACCTGCCCATAATGGCTGAAGATGTGGCTGCAACTTCAACTACTGCATTTACGGTTGAAAGTGTGGTGTTATTGATTAGTCTTTCACAATTTCTACTTTGGCCTGCAGTGCCTTTATGACAGATGTGTTAACTGCACATTGCAGGATTTCACCCCACAGAGAAGCCCCGAACTGTTAGCAAGCAATTCACAGCAAGCTCGAACAACCCCAGCGTGTGCCGTTATACCCATTAATGAATGTGTTAAACCATCACGTTGATCCATCCTGGCCATGGTTTTCTTTTATTCACTTTTAGACAGATTGCTACTGGACTTGGACGTTTTCAGCACCTGCTGCATGAATCTTAATTATGTCATTGTCGATTCTCAGTCATCAAGACAACCAGAGTGCCGTTGACGCGCTATAACTCAGGAATCCTAATGATGTTTG